TCACCAAAGGTTATTCGAAGCCCCGATGTTAGCCCTTCTGAAGGGAATGGAGGACTTTGTGGTATATTATGACGCGTCGATATCAGGGTTGGGAACGGTGCTTATGTAAAGGGGCACGTGATAGCATATGCATCGAGGCAGCTGAAGCCTCATGTGATAAGGTATCCCACCCATAATCTAGAGTTGGGAGCAGTAGTGTTCGCCCTCAAGATCTGGCGTCACTATCTGTATGGGGTCCGATGTATAATATACACGGATCACAAGAGCCTGAAGTACTTGATGGATCAGCCCAACTTGAATATGCGGTAGAGGAGATGGTTGGACGTGGTAAAGGATTATGATTGCGAGATCCTATACCACCCGGGTAAGGATAATGTGGTAGCCGATGCCCTAAGCCGTAGGGCAGAAAGCGCCCCGATGCAGGACGTTTGCATGAGATTGATAGTAATGGAAGAGGCACATCGATCGAAGAGGGAGTGAGTTATCGGGCAGGTATCGGAGTTCGTTACCGACAGCCAGGGGCTTTTGACATTTCAGGGTCGGATTTAGGTACCATTTGTGGGCGAGATACGTACCATTTTGATGGACGAGGCACATCGATCGAAGTTCTCGATCCATTCTGGGGCCACTAAGATGTATTTGGACCTGAAGAAGGAGCATTGGTGGCCCTGTATGAAAAGGGACGTCGTGTTGTTCATTGAGAGGTGCCTAACCTGTCGTAGGGTTAAGGCCGAGCACCAGAGTCCGTATGGTCAGTTGTAGCCATTAGAGGTTCCCGAGTGAAAGTGGGAGCAGATTACTGTGGATTTTATCTCCAAATTGCTGAGGACTGCGAGGGGCATCGATGCAATTTGGGTGATTGTAGACAGGTTAACGAAGAGCGCTCAATTCCTTGCTATTAGCGAGAGCTCTTCTGCAGAGACACTGGCAGAGTTGTATGTGAGAGAGGTGGTATCGCGGCATGGAGTATCGATCTCGATTGTCTCAGATCGTGATGTGCGTTTCACTTCCAGATTCTGGAAGAAATTTCATGAGGAGTTGGGTACGAGGCTGCATTTTAGTACTGCATATCACCCACAGACTGACGGGTAGAGCGAGCGAACAATTCAGACGCTTGAGGACATGCTCCGAGCATGTGTGTTGGATTTTGGCAGGAGTTGGGACACATATTTTCCCTTGGTAGAGTTTTCCTACAACAACAGCCATCATTCGAGCATTGCTATGCCACCCTTTAAGCTGTTGTATCGGAGGAGGTGTTGGACCCCCATTTGCTGGGGAGAGGTAGGGCAACGTGTGATGGGTAGTACAGAGATCGTGCTTCAGACGACTGAGCAGATACAACAGGTCAGACAGAGGTTGTTGACCGCTCAGAGTCGTCAGAAGAGTTATGTGGATAGGCACCGGTCCGAGCTCGATTTTCAGTTCGGTGACTTCGTGCTCCAGAATGTCTCTCCTTGGAAAGGAGTGATCCGATTTAGGAAGAGGGGCAAGTTGGGGCCTCGATATATTGGACCTTTCGGGGTGATCGCGAGAGTAGGCAGGGTAGCCTACCATTTGGAGCTACCTGCGGAGTTGGGTCAGATTCATGACACTTTCCACGTGTCGCAGTTGAGAAAATGTATAGCCGACGAGTCAGTAGTGGTACCATTAGAGGATATTCAGGTGGGTGGGCCTGAACTATGTTGAGAGACCGGTGGCAATTAGAGATCGAAAGATCAAGATTCTGAGGAACAAGGATGTGCCTCTAGTGCAGGTACAGTTGCAGCATAGGAAAGGGTCAGAGCTGACTTGGGAGCCAGAGCGCGAGATGCGTGAGCAGCATCCAGAGTTGTTTGCAGAGTGAGACTTCGAGGGCGAAGTCTGATTCTAGTGGGAGAGAATTGTAACATCCGGATTCCCAGGCATATTATTTTATTCATTTATTTTGGACTTTGTAAAGGGACTCGGCGAGTTGGTGCTTAGACTCGCCGAGTAGGGTCGCAGATTCTCATTCGGGTTCATGACCGGACTCGGCGAGTCCACGCTGTTTAATGAAACCCTAATTTCCCAGGTTTGGCACCTATTTAAAGGACCTTAGGGCCGTCATTTGCGGCTACCAAACCCCAGAGAGAGATCCTAAGAGATCTAGAGCGTTTGTGAGGGAGTAGAGGCCACTTTTGATCATTTTGTTTGTGTGATTGCAAAAAGGAGGTGACCAAGGCAAGAGGAGGCTGAAGGAGGAGCGGATCTGGTGATTTCAGAGTTCAGAGACTTCATCTTGAGGTATTTATTCAGACCTTCTTCAATTTTGGTGTTGATTCTTAGAGTTAGGGTTTTCTAACCCCTTTAGATAATGGATATGTGGAGCAATTGGTCCCTTCTCGAGTTTATGCTTTGGATCTAGACTCAAAGAGGTCCAGAGGCCTTAACCCTTGGAGCTTTATGGGTTATTTTGGGATCCATGAACTTAGGAGTTTATTTTTGGGGCTAAATCACCAAGTAGGATCATCTAGATGTTATATGAGTGTCAAGGTCTGAACTTTACGTGATTATCATGCTTGGGAAGGTCAGATCTATGGGTTTAAGGAACAGACCTGACCTCAGGAGGTCAATGGAGTTTTTGCATGGCATGAACTCGCCGAGTCCAAAGATCAGACTCGGCGAGTAGGGTTAGGGTTTCCCGTAAATCACTCAGCGAGTAGACTCACCGAGTTGGGGGAATAACTCAGTGAGTCAGAAAGGGATTAGAGGACTAGAGTTCAAGATGGAACTCACCGAGTTGATCTTGAGACTCGGCGAGTTGAGTCGGGGTAGGCCCGCGATTCATGCCAAGTGTGACTTGTCGAGAAAGGGGAGGGACTTGACATGCCAAGCGAGACTATGGAGTTAGTGGACACGTGTGGACTCGCCGAGTTTCCCAAGTGCACTCGACGAGTCAGGTCAAAGTTTAACCATTGACTTTGGTTGACTTTTAGGGTCTGGTCAACAATGAGGGCCTTTGAGCCAAAGGAGGGGTAAAATGGTCTTTTACCCTTCTGAGGGTACCTAGAGAGGGTTGAGTCTAGTCCTGAGAGTTATATTTATGAGAGTATTACTTTATGTGATTAGGTGGAGGCTAGATCGTATTTCTACCGAGTCAGAGATTTACCGAGACATCTGATGTGAATCTTCTCACTATACTTTACCTTGAGTGGTAATTAGTCATGCGACAGAGTTATTGTATGCTATTATGTGATGTGTTGTATTGCATTATGTCTATGTGATGTATGCCATGTGTATATTAGAGTATACCAGAGTTAGAACCGGAAGATTCACAGAGCTAGGACCAGAGGGTCCATTGAGTTAGGGCCCACGGGCCCATATTGTTATCGCCTCGAGTGGCTAGTATGTGTTATGTATGGTATTTTGGGCAACTCACTTAGCTTTATGCTTACAGTGTTATGTGTTTCAGGTACCAGTGATAATCGCGGGAAGGCATCGGCATGATTCTTACACACGCATGGGTTTTTATGTATTTTGATATTGGGAAATATTTTGTGAAACAAAGTTATGATACAATGGGATTTTGTCAATAAATGTGTTTAAAAATGCAAAAATTTGTTTTAAATTTTACAGTGTTACACGTTACGCCAAACATAGCCTTAAGCTAACTGGTGTGGGGTATCAATGCTATTAAATAGGTATTCCAGGGCTGGTTTATGTGTTTATAAACAAAGTTAGAGCTTAGGCCTCCCACTTCTAGAAGGCCCCACTTAACCCAAATATCTAATATAGTCTAATCTATATTCGTTGAATTGTTGTTCGCTGCACACGCCTCATAATCCCTTTATTCTTCTTCTACAAGTGACGATCACAGTTCATTCCTTCTCAGGGGCTGCTCAAAATTATCAGACTCTAATTAGCGATTCCGCTATTCTTCTTGTTGATACTTGAAAATATGAACCATTGGAACACTCTTCGTTCTCCATTCTTGGCTTCTCCACAAGTTCTGATATCTCCATTGTTTAAAATTTTCTAAATTATGATGATTCAAGGCTGTCATTGAATCGGTATCTGGAATTTTTTCACTTTTCACTTTTTGTTTTTAAGTTATCTGTTGTCATCTGATTACTTGATTAGGGTTAATACTTATAACTTTTTAGTTTTTATTTTTTAGTTATGTGAGTTTTGATTCCATTGACATTTTTCATTGATTACAACATATTACATTTACAAAATATATAATTAGTGAGTGAATCATGTTTGAACAAATTTCAGCATTTAAGTTTTCAGTTTTTCAGATTTGAGCTTTCCATTTATCTTATAGTTCTATTCTCAAAGTAGGTGTAAGACCCATGTATTACATGAGTTCATTTAAAAGAAAAATTAAATATGAAATTTTTAACATTTAAGAAATTTGAATTTATAAGAAAAAAAGAAAAATATTGAATTATTATAATTAAAGTGTTATTATTTTTTTTTTAAATTTAACTAATAAATTAGATAAATAAACATAGGAAACTAATGAGATTTTAATTGGACAAAATTGCAAAAATGGTCCTTATGTTATGCAATTTTTTGAGGTTTTAGTCCAAACTACGATTTTTTTGGATTGGTGGTTATTTTGAGGTAGTTTGTTTGTGATTTTGATCATTTGGTAAACTAAAAAGACTAAATTGCCCTTATTTTATTTATTTTCCATTTTTCTTTTTTTTCCTATAAATATTTATATATAAAAAATAAAAATAGGGGCCCACATACTCTCTCTCCTCTCTCTATCTCTCTTTCTCTCTCTCTCTGATAAACTGAATCCCACAAGCCCCATCATCTCTCTCTACAACTAATCTCCTCCTTATTCCGACGATTTTCCGATTGAACCGAACGGCAAGAACGTCGGAGCAGTGCCACTAACACCATCGAAGTCGAAGCATTCCAGCAGGTTAAAGCTACCAGAGAATATAAACCCTAACATTACTAGCCCTAATATGAAAGCCTTAAATTCCCCGTCACTCAAATCAAAAACTAAAGTCTAGAACTCGGCGATGAAGAAACCTAATCATATCTCTTCGCCTTCTCCCAAGAACAAGATTCGGGAGAGTAAGTTTGTGCTGGTGAAGAAGAATTTAAAGAGAGATAAGGATAAAACCCCGATTTCAGTCGATTGTAAGTGTAAAGCTAGTGGTAATTCAGAAAAATGTTTGTATGTTGCTTATGAGACTCTTAAGGCTTCTCAGTAAGGGTTTTTCAATCGGAGTGAAGTTTCTGTTCAAGAAGAAAACCCTAGTTTACCTATAGGTCTTCAAGGAAAATCCGAAGAAGATGACATTTTTGAGATGTCCGGTGATAAGAGGAGAAAGGAGAAATTGTTGGATGAAGCAAGAAAGACAATTCTTAAACTTGGATCCGGAAGAGTTTTGCATTTGGTCAAGGCCTTCGAGAATATTCTCACATTACTAGATTCAAGTGAGGATAAACTCGAAGATCAGACAAACAACAATCTTGAAAGACGATTCTCTTCTACTTTATTCAACCCATCTGATCTCTTACCTACTGTAGAAAATCTAGGGTTGTGTTCTTCACTTGATGGCAAATCATCTAAAATCTCTGCCATGAATTTTCTGTTAAAGCAGAAGAAACAGATTCATCATCTTCAAGTTTTGGAGGCAGTAGATGGAAAAGACGAACACTCAAGGCTACCTCCCAGTTTATGAAGAAAGTTCACTTATAAGTTACAAGACTTGTACCTTTTTATAAATTTCTTGAATTGAGCACATTAACTCATGAATATGCAACAATTAAAGAGGAAGAACAAAACAAGAAGAGTTCACGAAGAAAGTCCAGGAGATGATAATTCAACAACAAAAGCAATGAATCCCCATCCGAGAGAGAGAGAGAGAGAGAGAGAGAGAGAGAGAGAGAGATGTGGGTCCAAATTAATTATTTATTTTCTTTTTCATTTAAATTAAATAGAAAAAACATAAAAAGCAGTATTAGTAGGGCATTGCAGTCATTTCAATTTTACGAGGGACCAAATTTATGTACAAACATTGTCAAAAGGACCACGAAGCAAAAAAAAAAATCGGGATTTGGACTAAAGCCCCAAAAAAAGTATACCACAGGGACCATTTTTGCAGTTTTATCTTTTAATTTAGAAAGGTAGAAATTAGAAGAAATATCAATTAATAATATTGATATGTATTTATTATTACATTTATTACAATTAATACATTTAAATATTATATAAAATTTAATAAAATAGAAAAAACCACAAAATATCATTTGGAAAAAATTTAATTGAAAATAACTACAAAATGATATGTGTCAAATCAATGAGAACATACCATGTAACAATTTTTTTTTTTTTTATTATTTTTTTATTATAGAGGATCTTAAGGAAACAGGTATAATCTTTTTAGTTTATTAACGTCCGCTCCAAGCTTGGTTTAAAGAAGAGAGTTTTTATAATATTAAGTATAGTAAATGTTAAAGTACCCTAAACTTTTGATTTACTTAGAGCCTAAAATTAATTGAGCCGTACGTATTCTGTGACAGCCTTTGAGATGGAAACGCTGGCTTGAAATATTTAGCAAAAAATATAATCGAACAAATAAACATTCAATACATCCAATATTATATTTCTAATGAGCACTAACTTACTCATACTTCAACATGAACATGGGGAGTTCATAAAGTATATTTTTGCTTGTTTGTAGTAAATCATTCACTTAAATAACATTATAAATTAACCAAAATCATATATGGCCAACTTCGAAAAAGATTCAAATGTGACAGAATGTATCTCCTTCATCATTAAAACAAAATCCAAATGACGTCCATATAAATCAACAAAAATCTAAAAAGCACGTTACACATGCCATAATGCAAAATGGTTCCTATTGGCTAAGAGGCAAATGGCGAAGACCAAGATTTTTCATAGTCATGAAAACAATCTTTTTATCTGTATAACCCTATCTACTTTAATAATTTATAAAGGAGCAATAACAAGATCAGAGCACCACACCAAATTAAGGAACAAGTAAATCTATCAACCACCATGTTCACCTACCATTTACCACTCTTATCTTTCCTCCTCCTCCTCTCCACCGCTACCACCACCACAGCCCAAACATACAAACCAACCGACTACTTCCTCCTCAACTGCGGTGGTGCATCGGTCACTTCCAATGATCAACGGAAATGGGACACCGATGAACGTTCCAAATTCATACCCTCCACCACCTCCTTCACCTCCACCACGAACAACCACCAACCCTCCACCCCGGAAATCCCGTATTACACCGCCCGACTCTTCAACACTTCATCATTCACCTACACTTTTCCGGTGACCAATGGCCCTAAATTCCTCCGCCTCTATTTCTACCCTGCCACCTACTCCGGCCACCAAGCAAACCAATCTTACTTCTCCGTATCATCCAATGGTTACACTCTCTTATCCAACTTCAGCGCTTTCCTAACCGCATCCTATCAAGGAACTAACCTTGTTGGCAGTCCCCCGGTTCCCAACTTTATCAAAGAATTCATTATCTACGTAAACGATACCCAATCCTTAAATGTCACTTTTACCCCTTCCCCTAACTCCTACGCCTTCATTAACGGTATCGAAATCGTTTCACTACCCGAAAACTTATATTATAAATCAAAAAAGATGAAATGGATCGGTCTACGTTCCGGACCGATGATCGAAGAGGACGTTGGTCTCGAGAATGTTTACCGGTTAAACGTCGGTGGATCACAGATTCTGCCCACTGCTGATACTGGAATGTATCGATTATGGGACCAAGATTATCAATACCTGTTATCAGCACCCGGCGTCACGCAGGTTTACAAGAATCCGATCAACTACACTGCTGAGACACCGAATTACACCGCACCTGAAGTAGTTTACGCTACGCAAAGAAGCATGGGTAACTTGTCTGAATATTACAATCTGACGTGGCTACTTCCGGTGGATTCCGGGTTTTATTACATGCTTAGGCTCCATTTTTGTAGTATTATACCGGACTACACGAGAAAATATGGGGTGATATTTAAGATTTTTATTAATAATCAAACGGCTGAACAGTATGCTGATCTGTTTTACTGGACTCAAGGTACCGGATTTCCCGTGTTTAAGGATTATGTCGTATATATGTATGATTCTGATGGTAGTGGAAGAAAACAAGACTTATGGCTCGCAATGACTCCTAACCTTGAGGACACTGAAGACTACAATGATGCTTTTTTGAACGGTTTGGAAGTTTTCAAGCTTAGCATGAATAGAAGTCTCGCTGGCCCCAACCCGGAGCTCCAACCTACACCACCGTCTCCACCACCACCACCATCCCCTACCGGAAAAAAGAAATCTCCGCCATATGCGGCCATAATTGGCGGTATTGGCGGAGCGTTAGTACTCATGTTGTCAGTTTTAGGTTTTATCGTTTTCCGGCGAGTGAAACGCTCCGGCGACAAGTCCGATGAACAAAAATCAAAAGACTCCGGCCTTCCGTCTGGGAGGTGTCGCAGGTTTACAATTCAGGAAGTGAAAGATGCCACCAAAGAGTTTGATGAAACTCGTGTAATCGGGAGAGGAGGGTTTGGTATGGTGTACATAGGGTACATCGACAATGATACAACAGCTGTCGCTATCAAACGACTAAACGCGTTATCCAAACAAGGTTTTCGTGAATTCCAAACAGAAATCGGATTGCTTTCAAAATTACGCCATGTCCAACTTGTGTCCTTAATCGGATACTGCGATGAGGAGGGTGAAATGGTACTTGTGTATGATTACATGTCAAACGGGACATTACAAGATCATTTATACAAAGGAAAAAAACCTCATTTACCATGGAAACGACGTTTAGAAATTTGCATTGGTGCAGCGAAAGGGTTACATTATCTACACACAGGTGCAAATCGCGCCATTATTCATCGTGATGTGAAATCAACTAATATTTTGCTCGATGAGAATTTTGTGGCGAAAGTGGCGGATTTTGGTTTGTCGAAGTTAGGGCCAAAAGAGAAAGGGGTGGATTATGTTAGCACAGCAGTGAAAGGGACACTTGGGTATATGGATCCTGAATATTACAAATATCAACAACTTACAGAGAAATCTGACGTGTATTCATTTGGGGCTGTATTGTTAGAGGTCTTGTGTTCAAGGCCAGCGGTTATAAACAAAGGGGTTCCCGATGAAGAGATGAATTTGGCTGAATGGGGGAGGAAAAATTATGGAAAGGGGACGTTGCATGAGATAGTTGATAAGAGAATAAGAGATGAGATTGCTCCTAATTGTTTGATGAAGTTTGGTGAGGTCGCAAATAGTTGTTTGAGAATGAAAGGGAGCAAACGTCCGAAGATGGATGAAGTTGTTTGGAGGTTGGAGTTTGCGTTGCAGTTACAAGAGGCGGCTGAGAAGATAGATGGCGAGGTGTCAGGTGACATGAAAGGTGGTAGTGGCATGTCGGGAAATCAAGAATTTATGTTTCCGGTGAAAGAAGAGGATGTGAGTGTAGTTGAGGAGTATGAGTATAATTATGAGTTAGAAGGGACGTCGACTGGGGTGGGAATACAACATGGATTGACATCGACTGATGGCAGTAGCCATGAAGTGTTTGTGTCAGAAACGGTTTTACCCCGATGAAGATCAGGGGTAGTATAGTAAATTAGGTTTGGATGATCAATTGAAGTATAGTAATTCAGGTTTGGATGCCTAGTTATCAGTTAAGTTGTTGCTGGAGTGGATTTTAATTTGATTAATATTGTGTGATTAAATTATGTATTATTATAATGTTTCACATACAAATGTCCACTAGTCATCACTGAATGGAGTAGTTGTGTCAATCGGATAACTCCTTTTCACTTTTATGGTTTCATACATGGTTAGTGGGTATGTTTGGCAAAAGTTAAAGGCTCCCATTGTGGTACAAACTTAAAATCAAATGAGACATTTCAAAAGTTTACAGAAGAATAAAACAAGTAGCATTTTAATACTCTTACCTCCTAAAATCATTGATCCTTCAAATTCCCCTGTTAGAAAGACGTGTTAGAATCTCCGGTCGTTTCCATTGGTTAAGGTCATTTCCGATGGATTTTCGACGAAAATTGGTTGGTGGGATAAAAATGTAGTCAATAAATATTACCAACCCTTTTCCAATGGATTTAGTGGTCGATGACTACAATCCTTGTTTGACCTTTTTAACCACATTACCAACACCTTTTTGACCCCATTGCCAACGTACTTTCCACAGATACCGATCCAACACTTTTAGCGACGGAGTACCAACAAACACATTTGCCGACCCTTTATCGATAAACCACGACACAGTCGGATTATCAATGGACATGTACCGACAGATTGGTTTACTTTTCATGACAGATGGTTCCGTCAATATTTCATGGTAGTTTGAATTTTTGTAAACTATTAAAAACTAAAAAAAAAATCAAGTGTTTTTTCGCTCAAAAATGAAGAAAAAACAATGTATGATACAAATATGCTAAACATATAATCACATAATAAATTAATTATAATAAAAAGTGTTAGATCACAGTACCATTTGGTGTCAAATATGTTACATGAAAAATGTCAAATACAACTATTGATTGTTTAGGCTAATTAGAAACATAAAACTAATTTCTGTCTGGCGGATTACAAGACAAGTTGTTTTGGTTGAAAAAAGTCGTTGTTTGTTTGCTTAAGTTAGGCTTGCCT